GATATTCTCTAAGGACATCGTTAATCAAGTCCTGAAATACCGCTGGGGAGTTGCATAGGCCAAACGGCATGACCAGGTATTCATAATGTCCCATTCTCATATTAAATGCGGTCATCTACTCATGCCCTTCCTTAATTCTGACTAGGTTGTATGCACTCCTCAGATCGAGTTTTGTGAATACTCGGGCACAACCTATCAAATAGCTCAGAAATAAGGGGAATGGGATAGGCGTTTTTAATCCACTCATGCCCTTCCTTAATTCTGACTAGGTTGTATGAGCTCCTCAGATCGAGTTTTGTGAATACTCGGGCACAACCTATCAAATAGCTCAGAAATAAGGGGAATGGGATAGGCGTTTTTAATCGTAATTTTATTTAGACCCCTATAATCAATACAAGGGCGTAGGGCTCCTTCATTTTTAGAAACGAAGAAGAACCCTGCCCCAGCAAGTGAAGAGGATCTTCTTATGTGACCCTTTTTGAGAGCATCCTTAATGTATTCTTCTAAACAAATGTATCCTTTCTTGAGGAGAAAGTGCATAAACTCCTCCTTTAGGGGGCATAGTGCCAGGTAACAAATTAATGGCACAGTCGTAGGGCCTATGTGGAGGTAATACCTCCGACTGAATCTTGTTAAAGACTTCTTTTAAGTCCAAATACTGTGGTGGGATTTCTGTGGTTAAGGGAGGTGCTATAGGTACATTTTTTTTTCTTCAATTTGACAATTTTTATTGTTAATAAGAACAGGGGGGGGGGGTACAGAAGAGAAGAGGGAGGGGGGGGTTTCCGTGTTGCAGTATATGTCACTCGGTACAAGGCGACATAGCGTAGTAGCATAGTAGCTTGGTAATACAGTAATGGTTTGGACAGTGGTGTTAATAACATTGTTGTTAAAAGTAAACCGCACTTCTTATTCCAGTTTTCACCCTGTCCTGCTCAAACCTACACGGAATGCCTAAGAGTTACAGGGCACTGCACACCATGAGCCACCGTAAGCGGCGGGTGTGATGTACAGATCTGTGTTAGTGCAGCTCCCTCCCTGTACTTGTCACTGAGTACACCAGAGAAACTAACATGTTCAACCAACAAAAACCCATGTTTATTATTATGTTTATTATCTATTATTAATAATGACTTATTATTAATGACTTATTAATGTGATGTTTAATTTCCTTTTATCTACATGTAACGAATGTATGTAAGCTACCATCAAAAACAGTGGGACTGTTCCCACCACAAAAATAAAGAATTTAAAAAAAAAAAAAAAAAGTAAACCGCACAAAGTTGTTCAGTATAATTCTAGCCAATGCGTCCACACATGGGCTGGGGAGATCTGTATAGCTTGGAATGTTACTTCCCCAAGCGTAGCCTAATTCGATGCTCTCTTGCTTTGCGGACACAGTGGGTCAATACATTTCATACATGTTGCTATGGGTTTGCCAATCTCCACGCGTCCCATACATCCCATGCCATCGTCCCTGTGTGGGTGGGTGGGCATATATTCGTGAAGCAACGCTCATAGAGCCTCTGCTCAGCTATTTCTGAGAGTACGTTTTGTATCGTAGGAGTGGTTGGAGATTTCCAGGCCCGCGCTATAAGGCGTTGAGCCGTTAGTGTTGTGTTGAAAATTAGTTTTTGGAGGTACTTAGGAGTGTGGGGGGGAGTGTGCAGTAGCAGGTACGTGAGCGGGTCATGGGGCAGTTTAAGTTTCGTGAGGTCTTGTAAGAAGGAGTGCACTGCTTCCCAAAAGGGTTTTATCAGTGAGCACGTCCACCAAATATGTAAAACTGATCCGGTGTGTTCCCGACATCTCCAGCAGGTGGATGAAGCGGCGGGGTATATTTTATAAAGCCGCTCCGGGACCATGTACCATCTGTAAATCATTTTTTTGTTTTGTTCCAGTAGCTATAGGTACATTGATGGTACAGATTCGTTTAGGCACCTGTTTTAAGCAATGACCTCTGCAACTCTTTCCCAAACTCACAATCTCTCCTTCAACCCAATCTAGACATGGATTGTGTTTCTGGAGCCAAGGAAAACCGAGTATTATTGGACATATAGGGGAAGATATAATTTGAAAAACCATTTCTTCAGAATGTAAGAAACCTACTGAGACAGTGATTGGTATAGTTTCGTGTGTGATGAGAGGTTGAGTAAGAGGTCTCCCATCGATAACCTCTACTGCTATGGGTCTGTCTTTCTGCCTTAAAGGCAGAAGATGTTTGGCAGAAAATTCCTTATCAAGGAAATTCTCCGCTGCCCCAGAGTCAATCGTGGCCTCACACTGAACAGTAGTTTTCTTACAAAACAGAGTGATTGTTATAAGAAAGCGGTTCTTAGTCAATTTAGGGGACATATACATCACACCTAAGGTCGGTCCCCGAATGTGCCTTAGGTGTGCATGTTTTCCGGCCGAACCGGACAAGAAAACCTCTGTCCTCTTTTGCCACAATATAGACACAACCCCTCATTAGGTCTGTATTGTCTCTCCGCCTCAGTCAGTTTGGTAATGCCCAATTGAATGGGTTTGGCTTCTGCAGGTGGTGCATGACTAACAGTCACTGGGTTAGAGAAACGAGGGGCTATAGACAAGTTTTTACGTCTAGTACGCTGTTTGTTTTTCTCCCTCTCTCTGAGCCTGTTGTCAATGTCAATCATGTATGCAATAAAACCATTAAGATTAACCGGCAGCGGTTTCATCTTGTATATTTTCCACTAAACCTTCCGAAAAAGCAGCCACCAAACCACTATTGGTCCAGTCAACCTCAGAAGCTAATGTCCTGAACTCTATGGCGTAATCGGTTACAGAGCGGGTGCCTTGTTTTATTCTCATTAAGGCTCTGGCAGCGTTTTTTTCTTTTCCCTTTGGCTCAAGTGGCTTTAAATGCCGTTAAAAATTCATTATCATGGGCAACTGGATTTCCACTCTCCCATAAGGGATTGGCCCAGGTTAAGGCCTTGCCTATTAATTGGTTCATAAGATAGGTCAAAGATTGGCTATCTGTAGTGAAGGAACCAGGGGAAGCCTCAAAATGATATTCAATTTGGTTAAGGAATCCTCTGAATTCTTTAGAATTACCTCCAAAACGAGGGGGAGGTGAAAGGGTTATGGATGGAGGTTTATATACTACAGGTGCAGGTATAGGTGGCGGAACTACAGGTGGTACCGGGGGTGCCTCCAGATAAGCAGTTCTCTGGAGCAAGGTCTGGAATGCTTGGGCAAACTGATCTAACCTTTGGTCCATATCCTCCACCCTGTTCTCACAGACTATCACATGTTTACATATTTCCGCAGGATCCATGGCCCTGTCGTAATGTCACGGCTGCTAGTGTGGTCCAACACGCAGAAACTATGTAAACATATACAGAAAAAAGGAAAGGAAATAAAAGGACAGAGCGTAAACCAGACCTCAGAATGGCTGGACTAATACGTTAGAGATAGAGAATGGTCAAAGGGAAAGTCGAGGTCAAGGAAGCCAGAAATACTCAGATACCGTTGAAAGTCACTTCCTCCCAGCTTACTCAGCGCGGGAGGAGCACTCGCGCCGGTGAACAGGGAGAGCCAGGCAGCGAAGAGGGAGCCGCGCCGAATCCCATCATCCCCAGCCACCCTCTTGCAAAGAAAAGGTAAGAGACAGGAGGGTGGCTGGAAAATGAGCTCTGTCTGTATGTATATGTCTGTCTGTGTGAATGTATGTGTATGTATGTCTGTATGCATGCGTGTATGTTTGTATGTCTGTATGTCTGTCTGCATGCATGTGTATATGTATGTCTATGTATGTCTGTATGCATGTATGTCTATGTATGTCTGTATGCATGTTTGTCTACGTATGTCTGTCTGTATGCATGTCTGTCTGTCTGTATATGTATGTGAATGTCTGTATGTCTGTATGCATGCATGTCTATGTATGTCTGTCTGTCTATCTGTTTGCATGCATGTCTGTGTGTATGTCTGTCTGACTGCATGCATATGTATGTATGTCTGTATGCATGCATGTCTATGTATGTATGTATGTATATATGTATGTCTGTATGTCAGTATGAATCTATGTCTGCATATCATTATGAACGTATGTCTGTGTGTATGTATGTATGTATGTCTGTATATATGCATGTATGTCAGTCTGAATGTATGTATATATGTCTGTATGCCATTATGAATGTATGTGTGTATGGATGTCAGTGTCTGTATGTATGTTGGTGTCTGTATGTATGTATGTGACTTTATGTCCTCATGCATGTGTGTCTGTATGTATGTTAGTATGTCTGTCTGTCACAATGTATGCCTATGTGTATGTCTCAGTATGTGTGTGTCAGTATGTATGCCTGTATGCGTGTATGTCTGTTTCAGTATGTGTGTCTGTTAGTATGTATCTGTGTCCTTTTGTATCAATGTGTGTGTTTGTGTCTGTGTGTTTATTCCTGTGGGCGGTTTTTGGAGGCAGACCCCGTGGGCGGTATTTAGAGGCTATCCTGCCTAACGGAGCCCGACAGCCACGCTGCATCTGTGCGGACCTGGTCCCGGTTCTCCCCCCTCCCCGGGCCAGGGGGGTGATCGCAGTCCTCACCTCACAGCCACACTCGGAGGCCATATGATACCAGACCGCTGCGTAGGCCCGAAGCCCAAATCCAAGATGGTGGAGGCCATGTGTGAAAGAGCTGACTCACAGAGCCCGAAACGGACCACTGATCCCTGCTGAATAGACACACGAGGGAACCGGCAGCGAGTAAGCATCGCGGGGCCCCAAATGGACATTTATCTTCAGTGGCAGAAGGGTGAAGAGGAGGGGAGGTGCAAAGCAAATGGCGGCACCACAGACACCGCTACCGGCGCGATGCACCGAGCTACCTACCTACTGACAGAGCTGGGGGGCCGGAGCCCGAGGCACAATGCTGCTTTCCCCTCCAACATACCAAACAGCACCATCTACCCAGCAGTAACTCAGAAGTGACACCCCAAGATGGCGGACACGCAGCAGGACAGTGAAGTCCCCAAGGAAGATGCGGAATGAGCTACAGCTCAAGGGGACGACTAGCAGACACACCGCACTTGCACTGGCTAACAACGACTGCACATCACGACCCAACCTCATGGAACATACCCATGATGAGGCAGCACACCAACCTACTAATCAGGACTCCCTCATGTCCAGCCGAGGCCGCGAGGCCATACATACTGACACCAGCTGACTCTGGCCGGTTCAGAGACACTCAGAGATACTAGCTACACTTTATTTACTACAGCGTTCGGGTCCCCCTCATTGTGTTAGTGTCACTGAGCGTTTGGGGGTTGTTATAATTTTCTTTAGTGCTTCTCGTGCCACCAACGATCTTTACCATGCCCTCACGCAACAGACATGTCCGTTCACACACACACAGACTGCGGGGTCCCGCTTACATGAGGCTCTGCACAGGCACACAACACAGCAGACTACCTGACCATTTAATATTATACACACGCAGGGGCCCCTGCTTCTGATGGCTTGGAGTGACTGACTGACTTAAAACACTGATTCACTCTACCTAACAGCAACAAGTTCATACAAACGACACCTAATCGACTATCCTTCATGTCATTACATAAAAATGTGCATAGTATCTCGTTTAACCAAGCTTGATATAAATATATAAAAATGTGCGAATTTTCATGCCACTGCCTAACTTCTTTAAATCTTGAAACACGCTGTTGTGGCATATGTCGATACCCTGTAACCACCTGCACAACAAAAATAAAGAATAAAAAAAAAATGCTTTATATCCCCCCTTCCTTCTTACCTTTGCCCAGGGAGGGGGGATATCGATTGTGAAGCCATGATAGTCCAGTGGAGAATCCCTGGCGGTTCTAGTGGGGAGTGAACTCTAGCCTGCAGCTCCTGAAGCTAGATTTCACTCTCGTGAGAACGGAGTGTTGCTATGGTAACCGCGGCAACGCTCCATGTTTGCAGAGGAGACCCGGCGGAGCTGCAGGCTGAGCTCCTGGGTCCTCTCTCCCTCCCCTGCCGGCTGCCAGCAAAGTGCCTGCGGATCGGTGAGGGAAATCTCTCATCTTCCCTCTGGTCCGTGAAGGTACCCAGCAGGGCCAGTGCTTGGATAGCACCGGCCCTGCAGGGGAGAGCATCGGCTCTAGGGTGGCGGGGGGATCCACCACTGCACATTCAGTCAGCCCCTACACACAATCACATTCATGGAGCTATCCACACACATATAACATTCATTCATCTATCACACAACCTTCACAATCACACTCCACCACCACACATACAACTCATATGGAGAGCTACGAGGGGGGGTTACTTTTATTCTTGCATCAGGGCTCACTGATTCCTAGTTACACCCCTGCAGGGGCGTATCTAGACCATTTGGCACCCGGGGCG